ATGAATAACAGGATCAAATCGTGTAATAAGATTTTCGCTATCTGTGCATGAGTGAATCAAAGAATCTACACATAATGGGATGTTCTATGTAACTCTACTTCTATAGTTTCAAAATTTGCGTTTCAAATCACTGCACATCGTTCAACTAATTTGTGTTCTGCATCAGGTTTGAAATATAATGTTTTTTTACCCTTAGATTTCTATAATTTAATGAGCAATAAAAAAATCTCCTGATTTTCTACCATTTAACTTTAACTTTTAAAATACATTTTTCTCTAAATAATTTGTTAAATAAGCTTTATCCTGCACATGTGATTTTTCTTATTTGGCTTGCTGTGCATTATTTTCAAGTTCTACATATTGTAATGATAAACATCGATTGTTAGATCAGCAACTATCCTTGAACATTGGTTAGCCTCTAGCCGACAGCACCTTGCATTTTCTTGACCTTCTTGGATGTAGACTCTTCATTTCCTGTGTTTTAATTTAGAGGGCAATTCAACTTAAAGAGGTCTTGCTTACATTTAAAACATGTCGGACTTTTTTTTCTCTTAGGAGGTTAATTTTTAATTTATTTTTGAAATTTAAAATTAGATTTCTTACCCTTTTTGTGTAGAAATTTTTTTTTGAACATTCTTCCCAATTGATATAATTTTATATATTTAAGTTCCAAGTCATCACTAGTTGTTTTTGGGAGTGACTCATTGTCACTTAAGTCGCGATAATTGATAACTATAATTTATTTCTTTCTCTTCATACTGCCTCATCTTCTTCTGATAACAAGATCTGTTGTTAATGTGCTATTAAACAATCATCCAAATTACCAATGATTGAAGAACTTAATCTCTATTTAAAAAAAAAATAGATATCTTTAAAATCTACGCTCTTGGCAGAGATCATATAATATTATTTATATGTTTTTGGTTAGGAGTGCTCTTTACTAAGCGCGTGTAATAACTATTTTATTTAATTGTCTGAACATCTTTGTAAATTTTTCTCCGAGCTTCATTTTGAATAGATTGTACCTTGGATTAGATATTAATTTGTTTTGTTTTCATCTGTTTTCTTGTACATGCTGACCAATTTGTCCCATATTTAATTTTTTGTTCTAAAATTTTAGATGTTCATGTAATGGTCATATACATTCACTCGTTTACTATCAATAAATCTTAGTCCAACTCTATTGGTGTCCATTCGTCCATAGGTTTTGGAATTTCATTATCATCAAATGTGACAATTGTGAGACTTTTATAGCCTTCTAAAATGAGGTTCTAAATTCTCATGTCATGTGACTGTAATTACATCATGAACCTATGTTTTTAGAAATTAGTGGAAATAGCGCTAAATGATAATGGTGGTCATGTAGTGGAGTGCCTTTTATTTTGTTTACTGATACGATCAGAAAATATTTTTAAATCAAATTATGTAAACTGTGGGGATCATTTTTTGAATGTGAAGTTAATAATTGTAGATTTCATGCCCTAATATCAATTTTTGGTTTACGTGAGTCCAAAGAGAAGGCGGTGGGAAATTGGCCTGTTATTTTGTTTGCTGATACGATCAGAAAATATTTTTAAATCAAATTATGTAAACCGTGGGGATCATTCTTTGAATGTGAAGTTAATAATTATAGATTTCATGCCCTCATATCAATTTTTGGTTTACGCGAGTCCAAAGAGAAGGCGGTGGGAAATTGAACTTGTGTTATATTTCAAATAAGATCTCTTTTTAATTGTTTTTTAGATGAAGCATTAAATAAGATATGTTTGAAATATTAATTGAGAAATATGCGTTAAAGGCTAATTTTCAAAAGCCAATAAGACATATATGAGATATAAAAATTACAACATCAAGCATATTGCATAAAGACAACCATACAAGCACTTAGTAATTTTTATTTGGTTCAGTCAGAGTTTACATCCATGTCTAGGTGTTCACTATATCTATGATTTTTGCATTGACCGCACTAAATAAAATTGTCACTCCTTCAGTGGGTAAAGTAGTCTTTGTATCACACTTTGGGAGTATCTTTCATTTACTGATATAACCTTTCGATCTCCTTGGCAGAGACGCTTTGGGAGTATCTTTCATTTACTGATATAACCTTTCAGTCTTCTTGGCAGAGACTTTTCTAAACGTTCTTCAGCAGAACACTCAAATTATAATATATAATAAACTAGTAAGAAAACTACAATAAAAAGAATTGGATTCTTACACGTGTATGCGATCACATGTAAAGAAGCCAAGCTCATCACATCACCAAAATATTAGATTTCACCATAATCAAGTTAGTAATTCTCTCTTTTTTTTGTGTCAACAGCATTTAAAAATATTCTTTGCAGGAAACTACTTGGTGGATGTTTGGGAGAGGAGAGGGCTAGGATTTTTTTAAAGAAAGATGCTTCTAACAATCAACTATGATCCAAGTATTAAGATAGTTTATATATGAGGTGGTTACGTTTTGATTTTTTAATGACTTTTTTAAAAATAAGTTAAAATTTTCTACTTTTCTCCCGGCAGCAACCTCTCCAAAATCCTTAGATTTTCAAATGAAATTCAAATTTAAATGGTTTGAAATCATCATTAAGTTTTGGTATTTTAATTTTTGTGAAGATTTGTAAAAGATTTTAAGGCCCACTACACTTTGGGGAGACCTATTATTTTTATTTTCAAGGTCTGAACTTTTTAAAATTATATGAAGCATTGCAATATTTTTTCGAGAACAACAAATGCTTTGTGGAGGCTTTTTTATGTTTACTTTTTATCTAATTTATTTCATAAAATTTAAAATATATTCATCAAGTTCTCTATTTATTAAACTATTTGTAACGTTTTTGATAATATTAAAAAAATTTAATATGAACATATACTTTAATGACTTAATATGGGTGGGTGATACCTAAATGTTATTTACTTAAGAATTAGCTGAAACCATACTTGCTTATCTGTGATATTTTTGATATTTTGTTTTGTGTGGCATTTACAGTAAAAGAAATGTTGTTTCCCATATTAAGCCATTAGTCTTGATGTGAGCCGTTTTGATGGTGTACCTGTTACTTGCAATTACTTAACTTATGAAACCAACAATTCTTTATTTTTTTTGTGTAATTTATGATGATCAAAATTTATAGAATGCCATGAGTTTATGAGGCTGATAAATACCCAAATTGAACCTAATATTTAGCCATTTTTTGCTCAGTCACTGTACATTTATTCAAGAATAAATGTATTATTCTCTTGATCTTCAGAAGTCCAGTCAATCAAACGAATTCTTGTTACTGATTCTATTAAGGAAATTATTAAACTTGCAATTGAATAAAGGTATCATATAGATTTTTTTCTCACCTTCTTTATTAGCCTGCATAGTATTTCAATTTTAAAGGCTGTCTTTGAGGCATTAAATAACTAGAATTAAGATAATGCTATTAAATCAAAAGTTAAAGCTCTTGAAAAAATGAAATATGGGATTTGGTATGATAAGTATGGTTACTGGAGAAAAGAAATCGATGGAATGTGAGTGGGTCTTTATTGAAAAATATAAATCAGACGTTTCACTGGAAATTTATAAAAGCTAGATCGCCCTTTAAAGGTTTCAGTAAAATGTATGAGCTTTGTTACCATTAAATTTTTGCTCCGATAGTTAAAATGAAGATTGTTGAGTTATTTTATCATTAGTATCTACTATGAACTATAAAATATAATAATTCAATGTAAAAAATGCTTTCTTTTATGTTGGTTTGGAGGTGGAAGTGTATATGAAGATACCTCTAGTATTTATTTCACATATAAAACAATAGGTTTGTAGGCTGAAAAAATATTATATCGGTTGAAGCAATCTTGAAATACTTGATTTTGACATTTGTCAATATAATGCTTAACTTGAGATATAAATAAAGTTAGGGAGACCATATATTATTTGTAAAACTCACAACTTTATATTTAGAATCACCAGTTTATGCTAATAGCATTAACATGATAGGTTTTAACTTTGAAGGGATGTAGAACATAGAGTAAAGATTGTCTTAAGAATTTGAACTTAAATAAATAGGCGAACAAAAATATTTCTTTGGTATTGAGATTGCCCACTTTTCGTATGTAATCATTATAGCTCAATAGAATTATAACACACGTATTGAAGGATGAATGTTAGTTGGGAGGTACCTTTTAAGACTTATCTATTTATCACTACTAGACCTGACATTACATGTGCTATTAGAGTTGCAAGCCAATTTATGCACAATCTTAAAAAGTCTTGTATTAGAGAGGCATATAAAATCTTTTATTGATTGAAGGGAGCGTTGGGCAAAGAAATTTAGTGCAAAAGAGGGGAGAATTTATCAATAGTTCTAATGAAGGGTATTTGGGTCATTTATAGGAGTAGTGTGACTTGGATAATTAGTTAAATATCATGTACTCTTAGTAAATACAAGCAACTCATAATGTAAAAAAGTTATTAAATGTCCTTAATAAATAAAATAACAGCTAAACATTATCAAGAGCTATTAATGTGCAGTCTTTTAGATATATTTGTTTTTAATTAAAGTTTCTCGAACATTCCAGCCAAATTTGAATCTTGAAGAAACAGTCTGCCATTCTCCTGAAAGGTGTAGAAATACAAATTAGCCTTGCTGTTTGCTGCTTGGTTTCATTAGATGACATCAACTTGCTCATTGAGGTCCGACCTATGTGATACTATAAAATTAGAATCTTTACCTATTAAACTTCTTCTCTTATTTCTCTTGCAGAGGCACCAATCTTTTATTTTAAAATTTGAGATAAAGTACAACAACACTCTTTTATTTGGGCATAATGTTACCTATGAAACATTTTTTTTTTATATGCTTTCTTTGGAATATAGTTTATACCTGGGATCTTTCATGCCATTTTGAATTAGTTTGTTGATTATGTCCTTATTTTTGAAGATTCTTGAAGCAGTAATTTTAATCTGAGCGAAACTAATTTTAATGCTGCAATCATTTTCCTGTTTCTGGAAATTTCAGCTTGGCAAAAGAAGTTGCATTCCTTCAAAATGCAGAAGGTACTGGCTTAGCACCTTTTGACTGTTGGCTTTGCTTAAGAGGTATCAAGACAATGGCTTTGAGAGTGGAGAAGCAACAGGTACTACATATCTTTTGTTAATGTTTAATAAGTAATATTATTGTTATTGTTATTTTATTTTATTTTATTTTTTTCATTATGTTTGTGTTAGTATTTCTGCTAGTTTATGGTGCGCTTTTGTGTTTTGTGCTTTCGGTGCATAATATTTGCGAGCATTTTAATAATTAAAATCCAAGCAAAAGAGCTTTAAAATATCTCTGAATGACTTTGGTGACTTCCAAAGCTTCACTGTAAGCATACACGATTGTCCAAAGCTGTGACATTCTACACTACTTTGGAGTTCTTCACAACTTTTGAGATGAATTTTCTTGCTTTACTTAGTTTTGCTCCTCATTTTAGTTTTCTTTGACAGGCTAACGCTCAGAAACTTGCTGAATTCTTATCAACTCATCCCAGGGTGAAGAAGGTGAATTATGCAGGGCTTCCTGGACACCCTGGGCACTCTCTGCATTATTCTCAGGTACCCTTCCAAAGTTCATTTAAAATTAGGAGGCGAAAAAAATTGTGAAATGGTTTTGATGCGATGAATGCAGGCAAAAGGTGCTGGTTCAGTGCTTAGTTTTTTGACAGGATCTTTAGCTCTCTCAAAGCACATTGCAGAGACAGTAAAATATTTTGCAATAACCGTTAGTTTTGGTAATAACTTTACCATTTAAACCTCTTGTTCTTTTTTTTTCGGAGAAATCAAATTGTTACATATGAAAGAGTCATCTCTTCTATGTTTTATTCAATTATATTCTTAAATGCTAAACACGCTTGTTGTTTCACAGTTCACATGCTTTACTATTTAACTTGTGCCTTTTTCTCATTTCAAAATGTTTAGAAGGTTGATAACTTTTGCATATTTCTCTACAATCACAATGAGAAAAGGCGAATACAAGAGAAAAGGCGATAATTTCTTGTCTATTTTGAAATAACCATTAGTTTTGGTAATAACTTCTCCATTTAAACCTGTTTTTTTTTCTTTATTTTTTTTGGGAGAAATCAAATTGTTACGTTTGAAAGGGCCATTTCTTCTATGTTTTATTCAATTATATTCTTAAATGCTATACACGCTTGTTGCTTCACAGTTCAGATGCTTTACTATTTCTGTTATATTTGCCTTTTCTCATTTCAAAATTTTTAGAAAGGTGATGTTGATTTTTAAATAAATAAAAAAAGAGGAAATTAAAATAAACTAAGACATCCAAATAACTGCTCCTGCCCAGGATTCCAAAATTGCTCCTGCCTCTCTTTGTGAACATAACTGAGCCCCCCCACTTCGAAACAGAGGAATCGAAAAGAACTTTCACATAGCCACAAACCTCTCAGATCCTCACGCTCGATCATGTCAAATCAGCCTACTCTATCTCCCACACGATGCATTGATGGCTAGAGGTAGCAGGAAAGGCAATGACGGGATCGCGTCGTACAAAGTCTTCAGAAAATTCTATTTCATCTCCACGTTCCATAGGCAGAATCACACTGCTTCTTTCTGTTCGAAGAGCCAACTACCTGTGTTTGCATAATCCGACAACAAAGCCAAGCTCCACGTCTTCTTGGTCGTGATGAAAAACACATGGAATCGATTGTCTCCTCTTGTCTTCTCTGCAGTGGCCCCGATTCAAACTCCTCCGCCTCGCACAGTGCCTCGTGATGAAAAACACATGGAATCGATTGTCTCCTCTCGTCTTCTCTGCAGTGGCCCCGATTCAAACTCCGCCTCGCACAGTGTCTTGTCTCCTCTTGTCTTCTCTGCAGTGGCCCCGATTCAAACTCCTCCGCCTCGCACAGTGCCTTCCTCCCTTACCCTTCATGTCCTTCTTCTCGCGGTATAGTTGCGATTAGAGCAAGCAAAAACAACAATGACGGGTGTACATCATACAATGACCTCTGAAACTACTCTCCCTTCTCGCCTCTCTTTCTCCTTGTGACTGACTATCACATGGCAGGAAAAGCAACAACAAGATCATACTGGACAAAGAATTGCGAAACTCTTCCCGTGCCCTTCTGAGAAAGCAATGACGAGATCGATGCACGCTAAAAACTCTGAAAGTTTTTTCTTTTGGTTCACAGTCCTCTCTCGATTTATAAGTGCTCGTGTGATGCAACAAAGCCCGAAAGTCTTTTTACCTGTTTGAGATCGAAATTACATACAATGATTTTTTTCTACTCTCTACCATCGCATTTCCTTCTTTCTTACCCAACTCAAGACAAGCAACCATTTTTTATATATAATGTATAATATATATTATATATTATAAAGATAAAAAAAATCATAAAATTTTATTGTGCAAAGTCCATTACGTTGCTCGTCTCATTTGTAAGGTATAACAAAATTTTCAAAATATTCATTTGTGGAAGTCGGTACATTGAAGGACTATAACATCTTATAAACTGCGGTTTAAAGTATTTTGCTTTGCCCCTCGACCGCAGTGTTTACAATATTGATCAATACATCTTATAGATCGTCGGGCAAGCTAGCATTTTTCTGGTGCCTTGAAATGGTGGTAGGCGTCTGGAGATTGCCAAAATTTTTTGTCAATTTGTACTTGCAAATGATCTTAAAATTTGAACTAATAATTATTAAAATGATCTGAAATGTGGGGCCAATTAAATTTGTAAAAATAATTCAATTTTTTATTTTTGAACTTGTGAAAATTTTTAAAATTGGGCCTTTAAAATTGAATATGAAATATGATTTAAATATAGACTCTTAGGGCTTGAGAACATATTGAATTTGGGCTTTTAAATTTATGCTCTTAGGGCTTGGAAAATAATTCAAAATTTAGGCTTTTGAAATAAAAAAAAATTGCTATTGAATTCATGATATATCTGCCAGTGAACAAAATGTCTCTTTTAAAGCTCAACGTGAAACCTTGTGTATATTCTAAAGGTCTAATGTTCACTTAATTTTGAAAATTTTTAGTGTAATTCATGAGCTTTAAGATAACTCAACCGCCTTGCCTGCAGGGCAAACTTGTATGTCCCACTCAACTAGTCCGAACCTCTTCTCTTAAAGTACTGGAGCTGACTAGTCTAGTAAATTCAATAATGTTCAAATCAAAAACATAAGAATTTACAATTTTAAATCACATAGTATGTTCTTCTTCCTTGTAAGGATTGAAGTCTACATGGCTAACATTCTAAAGATCTTAAACTAAAAAAATTCAAATGAATCTTAAACTTAAAAGTTTTAAATGTTAAATCCCCAATGATGGCCGTGTTGACCGAAAATCTCAGCTGGAGGGTTTAGCTTTTAAATTAAGTTTTTCAAATTAGATTTTCAAAGCAATAAACTAAAGCAATAATTTAAAATCAAATCACTTAATACTTAAAGCAATCTCCATCCACCATTCACAATAGTTTGACAGGGTTAATAAATTTTTAATTGACTTTAGTTCACAAAAAACAAATGTCATATTAAGTGCATCGCTATATTTACACTCAAAGTAATTTCATGCCAATAAAAACGTGGCCCAAGTCCTCTGTTCTCGTGATTTGGCCCAAAGGCTCCATAAGAGTAGCGGTTACGACTAGAGCTCTCTTATCAAGTGGTTGTTGCCAAATGACATTATCATCTTACAATCGTGATCGTGGCTCATATATGTTGCCGAACGACTTTCTACTCCGAGTTGTGAACCATAATTATATGATTAATTGACATAAAATCTTCTATCAGATAAGGTCTACTTATTTATTTTCTTAGATAAACATCCAACCAGATCTATGAAGGTCTCTTGGACGACATAACTCATGGTGTTTTCAGTCAAATTTGGTCGACTAGCTCCTCTGATTAAGTAGATTATGGGCCATGACGACCCAGTACGACAAAATAATGAGATCTTGATTGGGTTTGTCATCATTTCTCAACCATCTGCTTTAAGCTCAAAAGTAATAAATTTTATAATCTAAAACCTTAAGTCTGATGTTTGTACTATATGTTGAATATTCAACACTTAGTGATTTGTCTTAATTGAAAGTGTTCTCATGTTATCAGGATGATAATTAACCATAAGATCTTGTGCCTATGGAAAATCTCAAACCCTATATCTTAAAGTCCTCACAAAATGAGGGTGAAAATTATCGGTAGTGTCTTATCTACAATCTCGTTTTCATTCTGAAAATTTGACTCTAAATATCAAATGCAAATCTTTCAACAAACACAACCACATAAGTTTAGGGAGTTGAATTTTTGAAGCTCACAGATTTCTGGCGACTTAACTTGGGAATGTTTCTCTTTCCATCTGTGGCTAGTCATCTCTTTACTATAATATTAGCTTAAAATTGACCAAATGTAAACACAATACTAAAATTTCTTTCATATATTGCAATCATTTGAAGTTTAAGTAAATTCTATATGGTGAGCATCAATGCATGTCCTTTAAAATTTAATTAATAAATCCACCACCGAAATGTCCCAACTGAAAGATAAATTTTATCTGATGAGCATTATAATGTTACCCTTGGAGTCAATCCTGGAATCTACAACTAAAAGGCTTCAATGGAAATCCAAAATTTGTTTGGTGAGCATCAAGCTATGACCCTGTGGATTTTAATTAGGTAATTTGCCACTGAAAGTTTCTAACAATTAGACGAGCTCTACAAGATGAACATCTGTGTGATATCTAAAACTTCAATTTATATATCTACTATTGAAAGGTCCCAACGAAAAGATAAATTCTATCTAGTTAGTATTGGGGTGTGATATTTGAGTTTCAACTCTAAATATCCACTTTCGAAGGATCCTAACAGAAATATAGGAATGTCAATATAAAGAAATCTATCGAGATTGAATTTTGGTGGAAGATATTGCGATAAGCAATTTTCATGTTTTTTTTGTTCTCTAAAGATAAGAATACTCTCTCATGGGGAATCCCATTCTTCCTCATCACTATTTAGCTTGATGGTGTAGAGATTCTCATCGCTGGCGCTATGGTCATTGCTTTAGTTATTCAAAGTTGCATGAAAATGGCTCAGAGGGAAACTTTTTAGAAAGCGAATGGGAATGAAAAAAGTATTGAATAGAGGTTTCAACAAATACTACCCAAGCAACCAATCATCAAGAAGTTATATTATTGCAAGTGTGTATTCCTCCACTGAATCAATTAAAAAAATATAAATTAGGTTAAAAGAAATTGCTTTACCATTGATTAAACAATCCTTTTGGTTTCAACAACGTTAAGCCCTTACCAATGAAAAGAAGCAACCTGAAATATTGTTTACTAGAATCTATTTGTTTAAAATGTTTCCAAAGAAAGGAGCTTAATGAAATGAATGTGCGAAAAAGCTTTTGGTGATCAAGGCCAATAAAATTCTACTAAGGAAGTTGCTATTTTTATGTGCTATGATAGCTCAAGGTTCATGAAGGTGAAATGATAAAGGACGATTCAGCATGACATCTGATTTATACTCTCAGAGATCCGCCATTAACAAGATCAGTCAAAAATTGACTTTGAAGAAGACTCACTCTCAGAGATCCGCCATTAACAAGATCAGTCAAAGATTGACTTTGAAGAAGACTCATTGATGAATCTCTTATTGATCAAAATTTTTAAAAAGTTTATCAAGAGATCCCTTTGTCAGCAAAATTTAACCCCACAGGTGGAGGATTACGAAATTAAGGCCATTAAGATATGACTATAGCTGTTTCATATTCTCGAATATATTAGAAAAAAAATCTGATAAAGGTATGTCTTCAACCACCATGCGTGAAGAGATTATTTAATTCAAGATGAAAGAGTAAAATTTCAGGGGGTTATCAAATTTAAGAAAAGAAATCATGATGTTGAGAAGACTTATTTAAATTTTTCAAAGAGTTAATGTGAGCAGCCGATATCACCAATCAGTGATTGAGGCTTGAGGAAATATTACACATGCGACTCAGTCAATGTTATTTTGGAAATTCTCTCAAAGGAAAGAGGAATGTGCTAGGTTTGAGGAAATATTACACATGACGACTCAGTCAATGCTACTTTGGAAATTCTCTCAAAGGGAAGAGGAATGTGCTATATTTTAGCATGAGTTTAATACTTGATTGAAAAACTCTATTGTGATACAAGAATGTGTTTCAAATCGAAAATAAAATTCCCCTGGAAAATGGGCATTTTAATATTTTGGGGTGACATCGTGCCTCAGGTCGAGATACTCAAATACTACTATTTATAGCTAGAAAATTTCCTTTGTAAGATAGGACTTTCTTATGCATTTGAGTCGACAACGTGTTCCAAGCTAAGATCCCCAACGACAAGGGTCAACATCACGCCTAATTCTGTGACCTATATCCACTTGGGCTGACATCGTGCTCATAGTCGAGATCCCCAAGTAACTCGGATGATATCGTGTTTTATGCCGAGATTTTTGAGAGTATGTTTAGGCTATCAATGATAAAGTTGCGTTCAATTGGGCAATCCAAAAAAAAAAGTTTCTAACAAGATATATAAGACGAATCTAGATGTCAATAATCCCTCTTAAAAATGCAAGATTTCGAATGTCAAGAGAGAAAATCTATCGAAATCTACCAGCTTCAACTAGTTAAGTTGGAGAAGCTTAAATCATCTTTTGCTCAAGTCTAGGACTCGAATGGAGGTCGACTCATCAAGCCAATATGTGGTCGAGTTGTTGATTTTTCTCTTCACTCAACAAACTAAGACCATAATGAAGTGTCCTGGTTGCCAGTCTGTCGACGTCAAAACATAAGACTATTTAATGCTCAAGTCTAGGACTCCAGAAACAATGTGATTGAAATACTGTCTTTTTTTTTTCACTCAACAAACCAAGACCGTAGTGAAGTGTCCCTTCTGCCAGTCTAACGATAACAAAAGCATAAGTCTATCCAACTTAACAAGGTCAAGTGATTTAGATGCATCGGGTTTTCTCAATTGATCGATTGATCAAAGCAAGTCTAAGGGATGATCCTTACTCAAGAAAGAATCTAATTGAGCTTGATCATGAAGTTGAAATATCAATTTTCTTCAAAAGGTTTGATTAAGCATTGAACACAAACTAAATGAACTTTGCTCTTTTTCAAAATAGTCTGATGAAATTTGAAGTATAACACCAAAAAAAAAAGAAGCAAGCTCAAACTTCATGTCAAATTGAGGCTAGCGACAAATTTTTCTTTCCTATCAAGATGAAGAGATACCTATATTTATTTTCAGTTGATATCGAGTTTTGGATCGAGATCCCCAAATATATTCTATATTTTATAATTTGGGTTAACATTGTCTCAAATACGAGTTCCCCAATTGAACATTTAACATATTTGTGTCAAAGCTAAATTCAAGTGAATGTGAATAAATACCTTTATCATCAGGCAACAAACATTTAACATATTTGTGTCAAAGCTACATTCATGCAATTTCAAATGTCTTACGTTCTTCTCTAGATTTGTCACAATTCAAAATTTTGAGCTTGTGATCTTCAATAGGTCAAATCAAAGAAGCTAGAAGCAAATCTATGGCTCAAGTGGGTCCTAAAAGTTGGACTCAACAAACTCAAATATGGTCGAGTCGCTCACAGCTTTTATCACTCAATAAATCATAAAAAAAACCATGGTAAAAGAGTCCCCTGCTTTATCGATTAAATGATAGATATCACTACAAGATTTATGCAAATTAGTGTCGGACAAATTCTATGCTAATGTGAGGATAATCCCCAATTAAACCGGTTTTGCCTAGGAATTGTGGTCCACAAAAACAGGTGTCGGTAATGCAATTAGCATTGAACATGTCTGATGCAAACAACTTGCATCTACAGTAGCATCTGTGCATGCCGTCGTTAATCTGCTTCGATGCGGTCTTCTCCTACTCAATTGTGAACGTCAGAATTTGCGTCGATATATGATGGACACGAATTGGCGTCGTTATTTGCGCCGACTTAGTATGCCAGAGAGATTATTTAGCGTTGAGTGTCAAAAAAAATTGAAGGTATTAGTGTCGGAAGTTTCGACGTATACCTGTAGCAAATTTAAAAAAAAACATAAAAAATGGTCGAATCTTCATAGCCTGTACAACTTGAATATGAATATCATAATCATTTACTTATCTACCATCATAACTCGAAACCTATATCACAAACAAGTACTAACAATGAAAATAAACATAATTTAACAATTATTAATCTAAGCATGAGTTTATATCTAATCATACAATATACGTTCACATACTCAAAAAGAAAAAAAAAAACATAAACCCTTATGACGGGGGATCATTATTAAACTCATAGCCATTCATACCCTCCTCCCTCTCTTCCGCATCCATAAAAGTCATAGGTCGCTTGCCCCGACGATGTGCAATACTCTATGTTAGTCGTGCTAGAGTCCTCTCCACTTTTTGTTGGCCTTCACACATTTGATCATGCATCTGACAGATCACTTCATTCATAACAGTGACCCGCCTGACTAGTTCCTTATGCTTTGATAATAATGACTATTAACCATCGACAGGAGCATGAGTGCTCGACCTTAAATGCTTTTCCTTTGCGACCAGGCTATAGAAACTCATCATCTTCTTCAAACCCACCTACCTCCAAATCTCAAAATCAGAATACGTAGTGACTG